TTATGATATGTTATTACTTGTATTATATTTTCCTTTGAATTTTTATAGTAGGAAATTTATTTTTTTACATAAGATCTTGGTCTTTTTTCTTTTTTTTCTCCCTCTAATAAAAACTTATTCTCCTTCCCAAGGGTCTTGACCATGGACTTCTATGGGAGGAATGACATCCCACTTGGTGCCTTCCTGGAGCGCTACTGCTTCAGCCCGACATACACCTGTCCGTCCAGTGAGTGTTCGGTGGCTGTGGTCGATCACATCCGCAAGTTTGTCCATGATACAGGCTGTGTGGAAGTACTCCTCCGACGCCTTGACACCAATTTGGATGACACAAATGCTGGGACGATCCTCATGTGGAGCTGGTGTAAGACCTGTCGGGAGGTAAGGACCTTTTCTTGTTGGAAGTGTGTTTAAAGGTAATATATAATTATTAAATTATTATTTTTTTTTCTTGTTTCTCCCACTGCTATATTTTTCCAATGTTATTCTACTGAATTTTTGTACTGTATATTTTCATGTTTTACCCTTCATCATCTTTTTCTTGTCATCTCTCTCTTCTTTTCATTCTCAATATCAACAGTCCTTTTCATTACAGCTTCCTCCTTTTTGTCTTGCTTTTTTTTTTATTTCCATGCCATTGCTCCCTCCCTCTCTGTATCTAGTCAAGCTAATCACTTTTGTAACCCGACTGCCTTTGTAACCCAGGTAACCCCCATGGTGCCGATCTCTTTGGAAACCTGGTCCCTTTCCTTTGCCAAGTACCTGGAGCTGCGATTCTATGGTGGGAGCTTCAACAGGAGAGGAACGCAAGGGTGCACACACTCCCTGCACCATGACCACTTCCAGTACTTTGGCTACAAGAACCAAGTGGCAGTGTTCAAGTGAGTCTGGGTTTGGAGAGGGTAATCCTGTTATCTTGATTCGATTTTATGCAAGCAACTTCAAATTGCTGTTGCTTTTAAAATTTGTCGTAAAGTCTTGCTGTAATGTTCATGGGTAAAGATGGGTGGCATTTGGAGTAGGGATTCATTATTTCTCAATTGGAGATTAAGCTTTAGTTGATTTTTAATGGTCTTGCAGTGGTATGTGACATGTAATGATATATAAATATATATGATATTAAGTTTATGAAGGAGAAGAGGAGGTGTACATATACCTTCTAATTTTCAGGTACAATAACATAACTTTGCGAGAAGTTGCTCTGCCACCATCCAAGATGAGTTTGTGTGTCCCGCCAATCACGCAAGCCTCAGTTGTAGAACTCATCAAAGGTGTAGCTATGCAGGTAATAATTTAAGGGTAGACTGAATTTTTTTTAAAGATTTGATTCCTAATCTTTCTGAATTAATGTGAGCTAGTATTACTTCCATTGCAAAAGATCCCAAATCTAAATTGTAGGATGATATTTGGGTTTTAATGATCCTTAAGCCATAGAGTGTAAGAAAGGAGAACTTAGATAATAAAAGGTTAGAGATGTACAGTTTGGAATAACTAAAAATTCATTATAGCTTTTAAAGCCATATTGCAGTTAAATGATGTTGTTCTTTCAGGGGTATCCACAATCTTGGAACGTGTGACTTCTATGCCACACTGCCAACCACTGTCTGGAGAAAAGTTGGATTAGTTCTTTCAGGGGTACTCTGGGAACGTGTGATTCTATGTCATCTGGAAGTTGAAACCTCTTCTGATTGAAATCAATAAAATAAGTGAACACCAGAATGGCCAAAGAGCATTGTTTCGTGAAAAAATTGAAAGTATACAGGTAAGACAGATAGTTAGTTTTGAATACTGATTTTTGTTATTACAGATCTCTGATTCCTAATATCCTTCTCAAACTATTGACACATCTTTGATCTGCAGGCACCATTTTTAAGCTACAAGAAAAAAAAGAAAAGAATTATTCAGCTTTATGTACCCAATACATTCTGACTTCATAGTGTATTCTTAAAGTTATCACACATGAATGGCAAGCAAATTAGTTTGGAGTAATTTTGCCCCAAAGCTTCATACTTCCCTGCTAACCCTCCATGACTCCCTTTAGGGTCATGACCCAAAGGCTGGAAACTGCTGCTATAGATCATCCTAGAGAGATCAAATATATTATTAGAAATTCCGATATTATAAAGAAATGTTTAAATTTACAGCTTCAGTTAACTTCACCAACTTTAGAAGCTCGGCGATTGCACCCACCAACCCCAAACACTACCCAAGAAGTTACTGCCACCATGCTTGCCATCACTGATCAAGTTGTTCTTATCAAGAAACTTGTTGCACAAGTTGTTAGTGACTGGAATGCTAAGGTAAATAATAAGCAATTATTTCCTTGGAAACAAATTTTTGGTAATGACTTGCATTTGTTTGAATAGTAACAGATTAAAAAGAAGTTATGATATGATACAGAATTTGTTTTAAAGGTTCAAGACCTCTTGCACCTTCGCAAAAAGGAGGAGAAATTAGAGAAAGCAAAGGTTATGGCTTCAGCTAGTAGCGGAATGCCAGGATTGCCGCGACAGTCCACAAGCGCTTCCATCTCCACTTCCTCTGCAGCCTCTGCTCATGCAACATCATCAACTGGAGGTTTGTACTGTTTATTCCGAGTTTGTTCATTTGAAGAGCTTACATTTATTTGTTTACTACATAATATTCATTCATTTTTGTTTCTTGTGTGCTGTATTCATAATGAAGTGAAATGAAACTTACAGTGTTTACTATCATCATATATTATTAAGATTTATGGAGATGTTTGGAAATGCTTTCACTGAAAAATATGGTTATTGGTTTCAGAAATGTTCAGTGCCCCTTCACATAAGCAAGGCTGTGATACTGCATCAGTAGCATCATCGGCAGCACTCACTGGTGTTTCCACAGATTCCCTAAGTCTTTCAGCATCATTCAGTGAACTACCAGGTCAAGATGGACAAAAAATGTATGTATTTTTAGATACAAGAATTGTTTTCCAGCCTTTTTCAGTTTGTTTTGTATGGGTGTTAATTACCATACTTCCTGTCACATTATAAGCTGTCCTTCCTCCTCCTCCTCCTCCTCCTCCTCCTCTTTCCTCCTCCTCCTCCTCCTCCTCCTCCTCCTCCTCCTCCTCCTCCTCTCCTCCTCCTCCTTCCTCCTAACTCTCCTTCCTCGTCAGTCTGCCTCCTCCTTCTCTCTCTCCTCCTTCCTCCTCCTCCTCCTCCTCCTCCTCCTCCTCTCCTCCTCCTCCTCCTCCTCTCCTCCTCCTCCTCCTCCTCCTCCTCCTCCCTCCTCTCCTCCTCCTCCTCCTCTCTCCTCTCTCCCTCCTCTTCCTCTTCCTCCTCTCTTCCCGCCTCCTCCTCCCTCCTCCTCCTCCTCCTCCTCCTCCTCTCTCCTCCTCCTCTTCTCCTCCTCCTCCTCCTCTCTCTCCTCCTCCTCCTCCTCTCCTCCTCCTCCTCTCCTCCTCCTCCTCCTCTCCTCGCCTCCTTCTCCTCCTCCTCCTCCTCTTTCCTCCTTCTCTTCTCTTCTTCTCTCTCCTCCTCTTCCGCTTCTTCCTCCTCCTCCATTTCTCCTCATTGATATTATAATGATTTTCTTATATTAACAGTGATGGTTGTGAGGATGAGGTTGACACTGGAGGTGCTGGCAACGGTGAATCATCAGATAGTCCTCAAGCAGCTGGTAAGTGCATGCCAGTATTTGTTTCTTCTGACTCTGACTTCCATGATGTCATCAGTATTTCTACTTGGTAGGATAATCGAGTAAGTGATTAGAGCACAAATTTACAATTTCAGGTATACAGACATTTGGACAAGGACAGCCACTCACAAGCACATACTCATACACATACATATGTACATGCACACATGCACATGCACATGCAAATGCACATACATGTGCACATTCACATACACATTTATATGCACATGGAGAAGCAGGTGTGCATATCTACTTTAGTGTATTTCATTACATTAATGATTATATATTTAGTGATGATAGTACAGCATAAGCCAGAGAAAATGAATGTATATGCTGACCTCCTAAAGTAAAACTGGAAGCTTATAATTTCAAACCAAAGTATCAAAATTCAAGTTCTACTCCCAATGTTCTATAATCTTAGTTTTGACAATTTTAGCACAATAGAAAGAAAAAAGTGATAGTGACCTTGCATTTTTGTATTGCATGATTGACCATTAGCCTTTTAGTCAAAACTTGTCTTTTAAACACCTCTTTCACTGCAAGTCATCTTATAATTGTGTTTCCCCGTTGTTTTTTTCTTTTTAATCTTTTTTAAGTTGGGATCTTAAGCTTTAATTTATCCATCTTTGTGTGTTGCATTTGGTCTGCATATTCTGCAGTGTATCTGTCGTTACTTTGTTTATTTTTGTTTATGCTCATTTTTTTTTCTGTGATTATAATTATCATATTTATTTTTTTGTTTGTGTGATGATATTATCTAAAATTTGCTGATTATTTTTTCTAAAAAAGTTAGATAATCACAAATTTAAAGTGTACCCACGGCAAAAAATGTATTCAAATGTTACAGAAACACAAGAAAAGAGAAAAAATGCTGAGGAGTCAAAGGAAAGTAAGTGTTTCATGTTTAAGCCATTAATTTTTAGGCATAAAGTTAAGTGAACCAACATTTACCTCTTCATTGGAACATATATGCACCCACAGACTCAGCTACATGTGTATCTAATGCATTCGCACATGAACATGCATGTGCACACACACACTGAAACCCACACACATAAGCAGAAACACACATACATACACACTGCCACAGAATACAGATGCATGTGCATGTATCTGCATGTGTACACATGTACAAACATGCACCCTCTCACATACACATATTACACTCACACTTATTCTCCCTATTGTTCTCACTCTCTCACTGTCACTGCCACTACTACTTCTACTCTTACTCCTACTCATACTCTCACTCACTCTCATGCTCACTCTCACTCTCATTCTAAACACTCTCTCCTCTCTCTCATAGTCTCCTCTCTCTCCTCTCTCTCGTACTCTCTCTCTCTCTCTCTCTCCTCTCTCTCTCTCTCTCTCTCTCTCTCTCTCTCTCTCTCTCTCTCTCTCTCTCTCTCTCTCTCTCTCTCTCTCTCTCTCTCTCTCTCTCTCTCTCTCCCTCTCCCTCTCTCCCTCTCCCTCTCCCTCCCCTCTCCCCTCTCCTCTCCCTCTCCCTCTCCCTCCCTCTCCCTCTCCCCTCTCCCTCTCCATCTCCCTCTCCCTGTGTGCGCGTGTGCGTGCGCACACACGCGCACACATGCGCACACACGTGCACACACGCGCCACGCACGCGCACACACACACGCACGCCACACAACACATGCACGCACACACACACACACACACACACACACACACACACACACACACACACACACACACACACACACACACACACACACACACACACACACACACACACACACACACACACACACACACACACACACACTCACACACACTCACACACACTCACACACACACTCACACACACTCACACTCACACACACACACTCACACACACTCACACACACACACACACACACACACACACACACACACACACACACACACACACACACACACACACACACACACACACACACACACACACACACACATATATGTATACACTTACACATATGATATATATAAGCACATTCTCACAATAAGACACATGTGCATACACTTGCAATTAAAGAAAATACAGATTTAATAAGTTGACAAATTATGCTCTATATTTATGTTCATTTGAAATTATTTTTGCTTTTCTCGTATACATTTTATTTCCAACTAATATAGATTTTTTTTTTATATACAAACTAATGTACCTTTAATAATTTAAGTTTATAATTTCAGATAACTTTGATTTTTTCATTACTAGTTACTTTTGCCCCTTTGTCCATTTTGATATATAATTGAGAAAAAAATAAAATTATGTTTTTGCTTTTTTCTTATTACACTTTTCTTATTGACAAATGAGTTCACAAACTGATAATTTTCCCCAAAGTTTGCAATTTCGTACGGCACAATATACAGAGAATCTTGTTTTATGTTGAATAATTTGCTGATAAAATTCACAGTGGTAAAGATTAAGAGAAAAACACGTTACATTTAAGAAAGTGACACTTGTATTTTCTTGTTTTGCTTTAGGTTTGACTGCACTTGATCTTATGAATGTGGAATTTAGCATGCACTTTTCAAACATGAAAAGAGTGACATGGCTTGTGTTGACCATTCTTGTAATTTTTTTTTTTTTGACACTGGCTTTTTTTTCTTTTCTTTTGCTACATTTGCATTGCATTTTTACTGTGCCTCCCCCCCTTGAAATAGTGTTTTTTTGATGTATTATTTTTAATGTATTATCAATATTTTTTTTTTTTTTTTTTTTTTTTTTTTTCATTAGATCACGGCATGTTCCTGGATCATGTCACATTTTTTTCCATAATGTTTTGTTTTTTCTATACTATATACTGTCCTTTTCTCTACCCTCTTGAAGGATACTTTTAAGAAAAAAAAAAATTAGTTCTTTGATTAGGCAAGAGGGTATTTCAGTTATCTGAATTTTTCCTAGATGTTCAAAAGGCACTAGGAAAAGCATACGTCACGCCCACTGTCTCGTGCCTCATGGATGAGAGGGATCACACCCTTCTGGCACTGGCTGCTCTCACTACAAGCACTCTGTCTCCACCAGCATCAGGTATCATCACTTGTCGTGTGGCTTCCACTAACACGTAAACCCCAAAATAAAGAAAAAGAAGTCATTTGACTGGTTTTTAAGATTATTGATTTATGAAATTTATTTTCTTTTTTAGCATATTTAACCCCTAAAGTCCAAGGATCCTCAGTTAATTTTATTTGCACGTTTGTCGTCCAATCCAAGTGGAATTGCTCGAGCGTAACCTCTCAAAAACTGGTGGGTTTGCACTCCAGCATTTATTTTTTTCCTTGTTAGTGGGAGATAAGGAGTGTGAGGAAGTAATTCTGGCACTGTTAGGCAACTCTTTTTCTAGCTATAGGCCCCCTGAACCTACCCATGTTTCCTCATCCCCCAGTACGCTTTTGTCTCCCTGAGCCAATCATGCAAGCATGTAAAAGTTCCTCTGATGACAAGGAAAGGAACACAATAATTATAGATTAAGAATTCAGGTAATGTGAGACATGTACACCTCTCACAGACACCTATATTCTTCCGTGCCTGCTTTCTCTCTCTCTCTCTCTCTCTCTCTCTCTCTCTCTCTCTCTCTCTCTCTTCTCTCTCTCTCTCTCTCTCTCTCTCTCTCTCTCTCTCTCTCTCTCTCTCTCTCTCTCTCTTTCTCCCTCTTCCCTCTCCCTCTCTCCCTCTCTCCTCTCTTCCTTCTCCTTCTCCCTCTTCCTCTCCCTCTCCCTCTCCCTCTCCCTCTCCCTCTCCCTTTCCTTCCTCTCCCCTCCTTCCCTCCCTCCCCTCCCTCCCCTCCCTCCCTCTCCCTCCCTTCAACACAAGATGTGCATTTTCTGATGTGTAAATTTGAGCTCTACAGGCCTCAAAAATCAAAATGAACCTTGGTCATAAAAGAAAATTTTGTTTTTTTGCAGTTAGGCAAGAATGTGGTCTTTAGGGGTTAATCCTTTATACATATAACTACTGCTTGTATTTATGAACTATTGCTATTTTGTGTCATTCATTAATACTAAATTGACTTCTGTTCCCCTTATGTCATTTCTCGTGAAGAAAGTTGATAGTGATCATGTTAATGATTTTCAAAGTTATTATTATTATTATTTTTTTTTCTAATTTAGTTTCATAGACTGTAGAATTAAGAAATATACTGAAATTACAGTTATTTGAACAAGGACAGAAAGAAAAGGGAAATTTATTAAATCAATAGATTGAATTGATATTGTAGATATACAGTAGAATATATATTAAAAACAAATAACTGTTTAATCAAATGTATGTATCAGATGGTCATACATTGTACGTGTGAATAGTGTGGTTTCATCATCATATATTGTAAGTTATATTGGTTTAAGCAATAAATTTTTAGTATAAATTGATAGTGTAGTATAGAGTAGAATAATCAAGATATGCATATGTAGATAAGTAGATGAGTTAATGGGAGTGCTAACAAATGTATGACTAATTAGCAGTCAAGGAGATTGATATAAATAAATTCATAATGAATTGCTACTCTATTAAGTAAATATTTTTTTTTTTTTTTTGTTTAATGCAGTAATAAGCTGATAAATGAATAAACAAATATCTAGACACTTTCTTCTATCATATATATATTCAGTCATTAGTATTCACACTCATTTTTATAGGTTTCTTATTAAAAAGCATGGTTTTATTGGGTATATCTTCAGATATATAAATGTGATTTTGTTTTATGTAAAAGATATTAAATGCTGTATCCAGTCTTTTTTCATGGGAATAGAAATATCTATGTATTATTAAAACTTAATTTTATTATTGTTTTTATTATTATTGTTTATGATTTTTGTTATTATAAGTTCTAATATGTTTGTATACTTATTTTAATCTATCATGCATGGCTTCTTTTTCGTTTTCTCATTTTATGCTTTAGCTTTGCTTGTGTATGTCATGTGTCATGTATATTGACTCTCCATGAAGCGAATGGAAATATTTGGCAAATGCTTGTATTTTCAAGTCTTAAAGTTTTTTTCTGAATCTTTGGCTGGTACTGCCTTTCATCAGCCTTTATATCAGTCTCCAGAATCATACAATGGATGACGATAGAAAGCTGTGGAAATTGATATGTATCTGCAGTGCTTCTGTATAAGAAGGGCTGGCTTCACTATTGTTTAAGGGATTGTTAGTAAGCTTTAAGAAAGGCAGTGATGGTGAGGATGAATACAGTGATAGTGATGATGATGGTTATGGTGATTAGCATAATGAAGATGGTGATGGTGATGATTATGATCATGATTTTGCATGTACCTTTTTTTAATGAATGCATTGTGGTTGTTAAGAATCTTTATAGACTACTGGATATGATGTGTGTGTGTATGTGTGTAGTGCGAGTGCGAGTGCGAGTGCGAGTGCGAGTGTGCGTGTGTGTGTGCGTGTGCGTGTGTGTGTGTGTGTGTGTGTGTGTGTGTGTGTGTGTGTGTGTGTGTGTGTGTGTGTGTGTGTGTGTGTGTGTGTGTTTGTGTTCTTGTATATATGTACATATGTGTTTGACCATAACTATATTATAGCTGTATTTCATAAGCCCATTCGATTTTATTGCTTGATTTGCTTGACTGATATATTTTATGCTAATGCAATAAATGGTCTCACCCACAGGCAGCAGTGCTTTGTCCTTATCATCTGCCTCTAGTGAGATCCTGAACAGCTGGGAGAATGAGAGCGATGTCAGCGGAGGCCTTCAAGCTGTTCTGCCAAACCAGCTCACCGAAGCCTTCTCAGTACTCCATCGTAGGCAAGGTAGTCTCTGTAGGGTTTTTCATTGTAGTATAGTAGGATTTCTATTCACAAGTTTTGACCTAACATCAAAAAATATGAGAGGTGAAAAGTCTTGTGAAAGATGCAGGTGTTTCTTCAACTTTCACTTGTGTGGCATAAGTAAACATACACCCTTGAATAGAATCGCTACATAAAAGGACGTCTCTTCAGACAGCAGGAGGCAGGCAGAACACAGGGCCTCTTATAGGGTTTCACATCCACCTTCCCCAATAAACTTTACAGCAAAGAGCGATGTCAACGATACCTCAAGGCCAGATGGTTCCCAGCTCAACACATAGGTTCCCGACAGGTGCCTTCGTCCTTCATTGGACACAGATGTTCACTCCACTTTCACTTTTGACACTTCTATGGCCTAAGCAAGTATATGCCCTTGCAGGGAATCGCTGCATAGAAGGACTTTCTCGTCAGACAGCAGGAGGCAGGCAGAATGGCAGACAGCAGACAGATGAAGGTCTCACTTGTTACCACTCCGCCCTCAGCACCCTGGGGCACAAGTCTCATGGAGTTTCACATCCACCTTCCCCATTAAGCCCTCCAGCAGAGACCCCTTTCATTCTACCTGCTCTTAAGCCTAATCTCTTATGTTCACATGTATTGATATTGCATAAGTATTGTGCATAAGTCATTGGGATAAGGTGCTGGATATAGGCATATCTCTCCTGTCCTCTCCTATGAGCGAGTTGTTAACTGGAGTTTCTGTGTGGCTTCATGATTTTAATGCCATTTATGTTGCATGCGTTTTCTTTGATATTGATTATCAAGTAGAGGCATCCAATATTTACAATTTTTTTAAAAACAGTTTTGTGTTTTATACCTTTGTGTGTGCTTTTGGTTCTCAGAATGCAATGATGATCAAGGCCCAGATAACATTGTATACATCAGAATATGGGTCTTTGCCAAACTTTGATTACACACAAAATTTCATCAGATATACGATATCATGATATATATTTACACATAATCATAGAAAATATGTTTTGAGAACTGTGTAACTGTAGCATTTGTTAGAGGAGAATGTATGTATTGTTTTATTATTAATTTATTTGTCACTAAAATGACAACAATTTTTTTACCAGTATAGCCATATCTATATCATTAATCAAGGCTTTGTATTTGATGAACAGCAAAGAGTATAGTTGCAAAATTCTTGCATATCCATACATGCCACAGCATTTTACTCTCCTATGATTAATTATATTGACAGCTTCCGACACCTGTGATGGAATGATTGCTGGTTGTTCTTCGACCTCTGGTTCTCCTGGCCGAGGTCATGAAAGGTCACTCTCTGATGGAGGACAGACGGGGATTATCAAAGAAGGCATAGATGTTATTGGTGAACGTAGGCTTGCTGCAACAGCTGTGAAGAATATTATCTCAACATTTTGGTCATCTTCAGCTAATCTGATGGTTGAGGTAAGTGTATTTTTATTTTTCTATTTTTATTATTATTATTATTATTTATTTATTTTTTTAAAGCACAGTTAATGATAATGATGAATGTCTCAGTATTCTTGATGATTATGATCATCATCATCATATACCTCATAATTTTTCTTATCATTATAAGTATTATGATCTTGTTTCTTATCTCCCAGTCTCCCTTTGGTCCAAATGAACACTACCTCTTGTTGCCGGAGGTGAAAATCCCGGTTGTTGTGTATGGTGATGAACCATCTTCCATCATCGCTCATGCACTGGCGTCTCAAGAGTACGACCGCCAGCTTGGGGCGCTTAAGAAGAGACTAAAGGACATGCAGAAAGAGGGAACGAACACGAGGTAGGTGCAAGAGTGAAGGCCCTAGAAATTTTTGTGTTTTTGTTTGGCACCAGTAGGAGTGTTTAAAATCTACTTAGTCACTCTCCCCTCTCTGTTTTGCTCTGCTTCTCCCCTCTCACTTGGTGTGGCTTTCTCTCTTCATCTCTGTCTTTCTGACTCTGATTCTCTCTTTTTCTGTTTGTCTCTGTTTGTCTGTCAGTCAGTCCCTGACTGCCTTGTTTGTCTTGCCTGTCTGTCATTCTCTGTCACTCTATCTGTTGGTCTCTCTCTCTCTCTCTCTCTCTCTCTCTCTCTCTCTCTCTCTCTCTCTCTCTCTCTCTCTTCTCTCTCTCTCTCTCTCTCTCTCTCTCTCTCTCTCTCTCTCTCTCTCTCTCTCTCTCTCTCTCTCTCTCTCTCTCTCTCTCCCTCTCCTCTCTCTCCTCTCTCTCCTTCTCTCTCTCTCCCTCTCTCTCTCTCTTCTCTCTTTCTCTTCTCTTCTCTCTTCTCTCTTCTTTCTTTCTCTCTCTCTTTCTCTTCTCTTCTCTTCTCTTCTCTCTCTTCTCTTCTTTCTCTTCTTCTTCTCTTCTCTTCTCTTCTCTTCCCTCTCCCTTCCCTTCCCTTCCTTCTCTCTTCTCTTCTCTTCTCTTCTCTCTCTCTCTTCTCTTTCTTCTTCCTCTCTCTTCCTCTCTCTCTTCTTTCTTTCTCTTCTCTTCTTCTTCTCTTCTCTTCTCTTCTCTTCTTCTCTCTCTCTTCTCTCTCTCTTCTCTTCTCTTCCTTCCCTTTCCCTTCCCTTCTCCCTTCTCTTCTCTTCTCTTCTCTTCTCTTCTCTTTGTCCTGTCTTTCTCTTCTCTTTCTCTTTTCTCTTTCTCTCTCTTTCTCTTTTCCTCTTTCTCTTTTCTCTTTCTCTTTCTCTTTCTCTCTTTCTCTTTCTCTTTCTCTTTCTCTTTCTCTTTCTCTTTCTCTTTCTTTATCACCGGCTCTCTCCTCCCTCCCCCTCCTGTCTCTTCCCCATATTATTTATTTATTTGGATAATTTTTATTCACTATTCTCCGTCAGATCAAGTGACAAAGAACCCCAGCTGTCGCAGGAAGATTATGATAGCTCGGCCAATGAAGAGTCAGAATTCTGTGTGTCAGCAGCCACCACCGACATTGAGAAGAACAAGTCGGCTAAGGATTTCCACATTGAACTCCAGTGGAACGATCAACATGCCAAGTTTTATTGCAAGGTAAGATTTTTTTTTTTTTTTTTCAACATTAGACTTTGAGTTTAGATTTCTTTGGTTACAGGGTATGTGAGTGTATTTGATTGTTGGTGTCATTGCAAGAATGGCATGTGAGTTAGGTATGATTTTTGTAGGGTTTGTTGCATGTTTTGTGTGTCATGGTTTTAGTTCAGGGTATGAATATACTTTTCTGTAAGGGCTAGAGTCCAGAATGAAAAGATAGACGATAACATGTTTTTTCCACCAATTACCCTGTGGGAGGGGGAAGGTCCGATCACCACAGTTCTTTTCGTGACATCCAGGTGAGGTTAATGCATAACTTTAGTCCCAGGTTCGGTATGAGGCATGAGTATGACTCTGGTTTGGGATTGGACTGAGTTGTGCATGTTAGTTAAATATATAATTGTTTTTATTGTAAGGTGTTAGTTGATTTCCTTGAAGAAGACGACTTGTAATAGGAAGCTTGGATTTGGTTGTATTGCAAAGTGTAAGTTGTTTCTATACCATCGTATGTGTTGGTTTATCGTGTTTTATAGTATGATGTGTGATTTTTATCTTTAATACTTGGATATTTTAAGATTTTTCAAATATATAAGGATACTTTTGATATATTTAAGATATTTGTTATGTTTGAATCCTCACTAAATTTGTATAACCTGATTATCTTTTTCTCGTAGATTTTCTTTGCTGAGCACTTCCGGCAGTTACGGAAGATGGTTTTCCCTTTTGGAGAGGAGTTCTACATAAGGTCCCTGAGTCGTTGCATTGCCTGGGAAGCGCGGGGAGGAAAATCGGGATCCGTCTTCTGCAAATCACATGGTTAGTTAGTTCTTGAGTTTTTTTTTTTCTTCTTCTTCTTCTTCTTCTTCTTCTTCTTCTTCTTCTTCTTCTTCTTCTTCTTCTTCTTTTTCTTTCTTTCTTCTTTTCTCTTCTTCTTCTTCTTCTTCTTCTTCTTCTTCTTCTTCTTCTTCTTCTTCTTCTTCTTCTTCTTCTTCTGACCCAGACCCAGACTGATGGTTGTTTTGCCCTGGGAACTTCACATGTTTTTTTATTAGATTTTTAATTCACTACTTGTTTGTTATTTACTTGCTTCGTTCATGAAAACAATATGAGAAGGAATACAAAACCTGTGTTTTTACGAGATTTAGGACTGCATCTTTTTTTCTTTCATAATCCCGTTCCTCCAACTTCTCTGCCTCCTGGAAATCATTCACTTCTACTTCCTCCGCTTCTCTTCTTTTTCTTCCTCTTCTCTCTTCCTCCTCTCCTTTCTCCTCTTTCTCCTCCTCTCCTCCTCCTTCCTCCTCCTCTCTCTCCTCCTCCTCCTCCTCCTCTCCTCCTCTCCTCCTTCCTCCTCCTCCTCCTCCTCCTCCTCCTTCCTCCTCCTCCTTCCTCCTCCTCCTCTCCTCCTCCTCCTCCTCCTCCTCCTCCTCCTCCTCCTCCTCCTCCTCCTCCTTCTCCTCCTCCTCCTCCTCCCCTCCTCCTCCTCCTTCCTCCTCCCCTCCTCCTCTCCTCCTCCCTTCCTCCTCCTCCTCCTCCTCTCCTCCTCCTCCTCCTCCTCCTCCTCCTCCTCCTCCTCCTCCTCCTCCTCCTCCTTCCTCCTCCTCCTTCCTCCCTCCTCTCCTCCTCCTCCTCCTCCTCCCCTCCTCCTCCTCCTCCTCTCTCCTCAGCCTCAGTCTCAGTCTCTTAGTATGATTACAATGATTTTTGCTTTCCACAGATGATCGTTTTATCTTGAAAGAGATGTCACGCCTAGAAATGATTTCCTTCCTTGACTTTGGTCCAGCCTATGTGCAGTACATTGTTAATTGTGAGAAGGAGCAGCAGCCAACAGTGCTAACAAGGATTGTAGGTAAGCATAATTACTCCTTTATGGAATAGGTGGCTGTCACTGGCATGTTTCAAACTTCCTGATTTCAGATAACAGTAACGACAAATGGGAACTATCCTCTAACTTGACCATTGGTAAATCTGTTACAATTATAGAATGTGTTTGTATTGGCTCAGTGCAGGATTGCCCTAGTACCATAAAATCCCCCATGGCATTCTTTCACTGCTATACTGTCCTTCCCAACACTCCTGCTACTACCATGTAATCCCTCCCACCTTCACAGCAATGCTTCCACTGCCATATTGCCCCTACAGCACCTCTTCCACTTTCACACTGTCCTCCACAATTAGTTAATTAATTCATGTAGTTTAATTCCATTTGTTACAATGGATATTCTTTGCTGTGACATGCTGTCTGTTTATTTGCTTCTAAATTACCCTGTGTGCAATTAATGGCTGGGGTCACCATCCACTAGCAGTGCAAATGAGAATGCTGCCACTGCAAAACACCACTCCTAATTCTATACCATTACCTAAAACACTCTTCCTACCACCTCACCTTTCCTGTTGAATGTTTTAGTCATTGCAGTATATAGAAGATATGTTCTTTTTATTCAACTCTAGCCAGAGGTGTAATGAGAATACTAGTATTCTTTCAAAACAATTTTGTTGGAATTTCAGTCATACCTTCCAAATGCTGGTTTTTATCCTTTCTATAATCATTTTATATAGTTTTATATAGCCATTTTCAATTTCAATTTCTATTACAAGTATGAGATTCACTGACAATTTTACATTTTTCTGAAATTTAGATTTCCTGAAGCAGAAAATCTGATGCAAGCTTATTAATCAGTTATGTGTAATAGCCAAAGAAAAAATAGTACCAGCCTAGAGCTTGATGATTGCCATAAAGAATTAAAGTCTACTGTCAGTTGTAAAGATTTTTACTGGCTTTGTAGAGGTAGAGAGTAGGAAAAGGCATCTATGTAAGAGGCATCTGAAGTAGAAGTAATTAAGAGGTTGTTTGACATTGATCAAGTAAAAAATTCATATATTTTTTTTCCTTTCCTTTTCCTTTTAGAGGAGATTGTAAGTTAATATTAATTATGCTTTTTACAACAGGTGTCTATCGCATTGGGTATAAGAACACCACTACCAACAAAGCTCAGAGAATGGATGTGTTAGTGATGGAGAATTTGTTCTATCAGCGTAACATAACTCACAAATTTGACTTGAAGGGATCCATCCGAAACAGGCTTGTGAACACTTCTGGTAAAGAGGTAAGTTGTAAGAAAAGAAAGTCAAAGTTGGATTCTTATATTATGTTTTGAAAGTTCAGCTTGAAAGCTCTCTGTTAAGGGTTAGCATGATCTTACTTAGCTTAGATTATTGTTTTTAGCTCTTGTTAGTTTACAGTTTTCCATTCATTATTTAGGGTAGGACTAGGAGGATGAATAAAAGTATGTGATAGTAATAAAACACTCCATATCATTCTGTATAGTTTAATGATACACCTTCTAAACATACATTTCCAATATACTCCTTGATTGTCTACCACAGGAGTCGGAACTTGTTCTGCTCGATGAGAATTTACTCCGGATGGCTTGTTCATCTCCGCTGCATGTGCGTCCTCACAGCAAGACGGTTCTTAGCCGAGCCATTGCAGCAGACACTGTTTTTCTCTCTCAGCAGCTTATCATGGACTACTCTCTACTTGTTGGTATCGATAGCACTGCAAACCAACTTGTTGTCGGCATTATTGGTGAGTGCATTTTCAAGTGTTTCATATTGTGCATTTTCAAGCGTTTATTTTCTTTATAAAACAATATCCAAACATTCATAATGCTTATGCTCTAATTTTGTTGGCAGATTATATCCGGACATTTACATGGGACAAGAAGCTTGAGACCATCATCAAGGGCAGCGTCCTAGCTGGAGGGGCCGGCAAGCTCCCAACTGTTGTTTCCCCAGAGGTGTACCGAACACGCTTCTGCCATGCCATGGACCGATACTTCCTCCTCACCCCAGATAGGTGGACGGGGCTGGGACTTGGAATAGACCCTTGATCATTTATTCCAATGTATGTCTGATAGTTTGTGTGGGTGTTATGTTATGGTACTCCTTCAGTAAATATGCTAAGAGTGTCTGGATGCTCAAACTTTACATCTCATTTGAAGGTACCCATGTGTGCATAATCTCTACTCATTTTTGGGCATCCTTATTATAGAAGAGAAAGAAATAATTAAATAATGTTAACATTATCTCTTTGAATACAATAAGAAAGCTTTTTTGCATAACATTTGCTGATTTAGAATGAATCTTGCATTAGAATGTATGAAAATATATTTTATCAGATGACATCATTAAATTATTAAAAAAAAAAAAAAAAAACATTTAACAATGCTCTTAAGATTGTAGAGTGCAGTTTGGTGCCTTGTTTTTATTAAGTATTATAATACCTGATGTTGCATTTAATATTTTTTGTTATTCATAGATTAAAAGTTCTTCCAGCTTCTAGGGGCAGAATGCACAAAAGGAACTATAATTCTAGGATGATGTAGAAATTATTCTTGGAATAATAGTAGCAAGTGATGGTATGAAAAAAGTGGTTTTATATATGATTCAGACAATTTGATTTAAAGAATAGAAAGGTAAAGGAGGTGTAATAGAAATCTTTATATTGACATCCCGTCAATAAATTTTACACATTGGATTATTTATGCCCAAGTCTGTGTTGGTATTTTAGAAATGTATTTAAAAAGTATAAATTCTACTGTTTTGTTCTTTGTTGCTTATTGCAGATACCTTTTAAATGCCCATCATGAAGTTGCTAAAGCATTTCTAGGGTATCTGAAGTAAGTGGCGAAAACAAAATAAAGCAATTGTTTATAATAATAGATTGTTTCAGGTTGCAACGCAATTTGAATAACATTTTTCTTTTCTTTTGTCCAAGCAGTTATTTCTACAGTCGATCCTTTTGGGCTGAGATAACAATGTATTTCAAGTTCCGTTTTGTTTTTTTGTTTTATTTATATCATATATTTTTTTCCTTTTAGGATAATAGCATGTGTGTACATATGTAGTATGTCATTGGATTTTAAAATAGATCTTCATAAACATAACCTGAATAACAGCTTGATGTATATATTGTGAAAATAATGGTCATGTGTATCTTGATTGTTATTTATTACATAGTGAATCATTGGTAATTTTCATGATAAGTTGGTACTGATATTTTTTTCTAATATGTCAGCTTTGGTATGTGGAGTTTTGCTAATAATTTTGTGTTATGTAGAGAATTTAACAGAGTTCCTTATGCTATGGGAATTAGAATATGAAAGGGATCTTAAAACTTGTCTGCCAATATTATATCTTACACATATATTTTTCATTACCATATCAGTAATTATTTATATTCCTACAGTATATTTGATATAATTTAGAGTATTATTGGCTATCCAGTTGATAGATTGCTTTCATAATTTTTTTTTATGTGTGGGATTATATGGCAGAAAATGATGCAGTTAGTAATGAATACTTGCCGAGAATATGAACTAAATGAAAAAAAAATCACAAGATTGATGTCCCTTTTATATTTTGGCAGGTATTAGTTTAATGCAAAAGTTGTGGTGATACACTAATTTGGCAATAATAGAGTCTGATTGCAGAGGAATGAGTGTAGTCGTTTCCACTCCCTTTTTCTTCTTCTTCTCTAAAAGATTGAATGTTTCTTGGAAAGGGTGAATGGTGTTAAGTGTACTAATTTTGTAAAAGCATATGTGCTATTTTTTGCCAAATCATTCTTTTTCATACTTTACAAACTTAGCATTAAGGTTTTAAATAATCTGTGAATATATTGGGTGAAGAGATGGTAATATGCCATTTTTTGTAAATTATGGTTTGGAAAATTACTATTTTTGTTGAGGTTTTATACGTAGCTAATGTCAGTTTTTCAAGGTTAATGATATTAATTTTTTTCTTTTAGGTTAAGTAGCTAGAAAGTGTGAAAGTTATAACCTTGATATGCTATCACCTTCAGTAAGTGGGATTGATGAATTATGCTACATAATTTCCCAGGATATCCTTGACAGGGATATTGACAGGAGGTCTCACATGTATAACTCCTTAATACTCTTGGGTTAAAAATGGTTCGTCCACAGTGCACTCTGTCTGTCCGCTCTACTTCAGTGAGTTAGGAGAGGAAAGTAGCACATGCTGTTATACTTTCTTTCCCCTATTTGTTTTTGTTATTGAGATCTGCCTGTCTGTCAGTCTCATCCATGGCAGAGAAAGGTTGGGTTGGCTCTTGGGTACTGAATCAAAATCAATTTTGAGGGAACTATTGTTGATAAGTGGTTTAGAACATACGAGTGGTTCAGTAAATCATGCAAGTATAAAAATTTATGGTATCTAATCCTGCTTAGGGTAGTTTAGTGAATATTTTCCAAGGATACTGCCAAGCCTCCCATCCACGGCTTAGAATATTCTATTAGTCCATTGGCGGATGTCAAACCCAGGAGTATTGAGATGTTGCGTACCAGATGCTAAAGGGACATCAGTGTGTCTTCTCTGGTTTATTATCCCTTCTGTATAATTTAGTTGTTATTGAAATCTGTATATATTTGCTACTGAACGGCTAAATTATTGTAATTTTTGGGGTGCCATTTTCAGGAATTTTTTTTTTGGTGCCGATGATGGAGACGTTTCAGAAATGCATTCATGTATATTGATTTATTTTGCAAAGGGTGTCCATTGTCAGTTTTCTATTAATTTTTCAATAGGAGTTTACAGTTAGCTATATTTAGTTTTATATATTTATTCATCACTAATGAAGTGAAATATGTAAAATACATGTGAGTGATAGTAGGGTGATACATTTTTATTTTTCATTATTGGCAGAGATTGTAACATACTTGATTTTGTAAAGCTGGATAATGTACTTTATGAAAATATTCTCCAGTTTAATGTTATGCATATATTTAATATATGCATAACATCCATATATCTGTAGTGATCCAGATAATTTTACTAGCCCAAACAATATGATTTGTATTGTCATTTTTATTAATTCATTTAATTAATGAAATTATGCTAACTCTTGAAAGGGAGAGGTTTTTTATATAAACTTAATAAGAAGCAAGTGTACAGATTCATACTATATCAAACATAAATTCAGTCACAGGAATGATGTCCAAAGTTATTGCGAGAAATTCACTAAAAGATTATTTCTGGGGTTGATTCCTGGTTCTGAAGTAACTGGTAGTCCTTTAACACATGATTTTTCTACTGATGTATTATGTATCTGTGAGCACACTTGTACTGATTTTTTTTTTTTTTTTTTTTTTTTTAATTTAGATTTTATCTGTTTGGCATAGGAATCTGAATAACTGTTTAGTTGTAGTCAAAAGAACAATAGTGTATATTGAAGTATTTTTTGTTCTTATGGTTCACACTTCAGATCTGACCAAACTATTTACAACAGGTATCCTCTCACCCAGTTCATTATTTATCTCACCGTCGTTCCGTTTTGTCTTTGTACCTTGCGCAAAGTACATGGACTTTTTACCTCATAGGCTTGGCTTCTTATTTTTCACACTGACTCTTTAATAATTGATAATGTATTATGATTAATATGATTTATTTTTCTTGCTTTTTTCTGTTTGTTTTTACCTTTTCTTTTCTGTTTTACCTGCTTTCCTTTTGTTGTTGTTGTTTTTTCTTGTTAATTTCTTTTCTGTTTTTCTGTTTTTATTTTATTTTTTTTCTTGCTCTCTTCCTTTTTTATCTGTTTTCCTTCCTTTTACTTGTCATTTTTAATATTTACTCATTCTTTTCTACCTTTCTATTTTTTTTTCATTTTTTCCTTGCTTTCTTTCTTTTCTACCTGATCTCCATTCTCGCTTTGTCCGTTTTTCTTGTTTTCTTTATTCTACTTGTTTTCAGTTATCTTTTTTTCTTGATCTCTGTCTTTTCTAACAGATTTCTTTTTCTTGTTTTTTCTTGTTGTTTTCCGATATTTTTAATTTTTTGTTTGTATGACATTATATCCAGTTCTCAAGTATGAATGTTTAGTGCGAAGAAGATACCGTGAAAGTATATTTATCTCCATCATGGGCTTGCATGTAAAATTACGAATACCAGTTGGTTGAGCTTAAAGTTTCCCAATATAGTATTCTTTCCTATGTTCAGTACTGTGATAGACAAGACCAAAGTATGAGTGTAACAGTTACTTAGTAGTTATTGTACTTCTCGACTGAAGACTAGTAATAAAAATCTTTAGCTTTCTTGTGTGTATTTTTGGCCTCAAAGTTGGTCTGTTGGTTGAAGGAGACATGCTCGGGTTCTTGGAGGAAAATGAGAAGAGTGTTTGTATCATAATTTCCTTTATTGGTATGAAAATTACGTAATAATAAGAGGTAATTCAAGGCATTAAGGGAATGGTTGGTGTAAACATTGTTAAGACAGAAACAGGTTACTAGGAAATGCACTTTTAAACTTCATCTAGTTTAACTTAAATATTAAATTTTTTGTTTGTTTTCTCCAACAATTACTAATATTTTGCACAAAAGAACATCAATTTCAATTTGACTCCATTCAATTTTTTTTTCTTACTTTTTTTTCTCAGTTTTAAAAAGCTCTAACGAGTTGTGTTGTTCTACCAGATGAAGCTTCTTTTTTAACATGAAAAAATGTAAAATTCCGCAGAACCTGAGGAACTCACAAGGAATTCTGGTCAGCCATACCCTGGTGTTGGTGAAGAGAACCACCCAGGTAAGTTGAGAATATTCTGAACACATGAAATTCCTAGTTGCATCTCTCTCTGAGAACAAGGATTAGGATCACTTGGTCACACTACTCCTCGCTTAATTAGTTCTGTATTGGCTATAAATAATGGAAGGGGGATCATGACATTATAATACAGGATTACTTATAATAAGAGACAACTTATTTCAGAACAGGATTATGATTGAGACTTTCGATGTTGCATCCTGTGTGTAAGTGAGCATAAGTTGTGTAAGTTACCTTAATATCTCACTACCTATGGCATAGTCACATAAGGGGCAATGCTTCATACAGAGATCAGTCTTTTCTAGCTGTTAATGTCTCGTCCCAGAGAAGCCTGGCAGAGAGTAGTTTATGTAGGGATTTTACTTTGATGAAACTAGCAGGTACTTTACATATGTTGATTAGCTACTGTGAACTAAATCTAGGTCTCAATAATGCAGATCATGACTTTGTTGAGTTGAAGTGATTGCCCTCTGGTGAACTGCCTCTTTTTCTCACTACATAGGCTACAAGGTGACTCCAGGTACCATTTCTGCATCACTGAGATGTACATTGCAATGTAAAGACTGCAAGGGGTCCACACCCCTTGCAGCACAGAGGAGGATGCCTTCCTGTGCAACATTAGCTTAATTATTACTTTTATTCCCAGCAACTGTAAAGTACATCCTAAGGGAATCTAGACAGAAAAGAGGGGGAAGGAAATATTGGTGGCATCATCCTCTGTCAAACTTAACATTGCTTAGGTAATCAAAAAAGTCATTCACAACTACCATCCTGAGCTGTGTTGAGAGAGAAGGATTATTCCACAAAACATTATGTACAAGGCTGATAACAAAATGGCTTTATAGGCACGATACCTGTTGGTTTGAGCACATATTTGTTTCTCACTGAGTGATCTGAAACCCGATATGCTGTTCTGACTAATATTTTGATTTAGGATTTCATCAGATATAAGGGTAGGACTACACTTAAATTTATGTCAAAGAATATGAAATGGCATCCAAATGTTTTGTATCCATAATGGGCCCATGCAGTTTTAGTAACATGTTCAATGAGATTAATTATTTTAATGGTCAATTTTGCTTGCTTTAGCACCAGAAATATTTGGTCAATCAGATATATGGTTTCTGGGCATATACACCACATATTAATGGTTTTATATATACTTTTTATTACTTTGGCAACAGTTTGACTAGAAGGCCAAGTCTACAACTGTTTTTTTTTTTTCATCAAAATTAACTAATGTGAATCACAAATTTCTTGGCCAATGGCTCCAAGAAATTGATTAGCGTGAATCTTAAGTACTTAGAGTAGACAAAGGCCGTGTACAAGCTTGACCATAACTATATTCAGCGCGTGACTGACAATGACCAAAGGGGACAGCATTGGAGCCTCTCCTTGCCTCCTGAAATGATCATTGCCTTACCTAATCATAGCATTTTTTTAGGCCCAAAGACAGCGGGTCTGACCAGAGTGAGACCAGACTGTATAACCTGTTCAAACTGGGTACACACAGTAGCCTAAAACTAGCACAGAGGTTAGGCCAGAGAGAGCCAGAGATCCAGCCCAACCAAAAGCTAGGTCTGACCCATGAGAGAGGTTACATAGAGCAGACTTAAAAAAAGAACTACAGCCCAAAACCTGACCACAAATGGGCCTGACCCACATTCAACAGTGAAATCAGTAGACATTCCATTTATAACAATAATCACAGAAAAATCTATTTAGGTTGCAACATAACAACAAAGCACAACAGAGTCACAGTCCTAGAATAAATCAACAAAATCTTTGGTTTGACATGAACTTCCAAACATGACTCATTAGTTTGAAGTCCATCGATTAATTAAAAGTGTGTCCCCTGTGCCTCCATCCCGAGCTCCATTCATGAGGTTCCCGTGCATTTAGCTGTGTTTATAATTACTTTCAAAACTTCATAAGAAACAGAAAACAAGAAAGGAAAATTAGTTTTACCCAGTTCTGACACCACCAAAATACTATCTAAATTGAGCCTTGTTTAATTCGTGTCTGGAAAATCGAGCATAATCTGATTATATAAATAGGAAACAACTATTCTTAAGTTCTAGGTATCATAAAATTCTCCTCTGCTACTCGTTAAGTGTATTTAGACTATAGAAAGCTATGTTAATAACTGCAGGGGCCTCAGAGCTTCAACGGGAGACGTTATCCTGACAACTGGGAGATTCACATATACTTCTCACAACCCACATTAACAACCACTAAATACATCCCATACACTCAGCTCAGGTTATAAATCATCTTCTTTAAAAAAAAAATCGTATCTCACAACCAAGGCAACTTTATTACTGCCTCACAACCAAAGCTTATAAATAATACCTGGTGAGATGCTCATGTATCATTTCTGAAACGTTTTAGTCAGATCACATACTGTACAAAAAAATCTTAGCAAGCCTAACACACTTTAGTTGAAAGTGAATAAATTACAGAAAGTGGACTTGGCTCGTTTTCTGTTTTTAAAATTCATTCCAGAGCCTTAAAAACGCAGTGTAACACTATGTCTGCATTGGCGTCCTGCTAACATTATCTTTAGAGAAATAAAAACACTTGCAAGAAAATTGTACTCAAAAACTCCAAACCACTGTTTCAGGGGCATGCTTAATGGAAATGTTTATTGGGATAAGATCATGGAATTGTAAATGGAAGGATAATAGGTATGATTAAAGACAACCATTTGTTTTGGTAAGGAATTAAAAGGGACTTAATCTACTTGAGTCGCTGCATCGATTCTGAACATTAGCAGATCAGATCTCTGTGGCCCACAAAAGGCAAGACACAAGTTATTCATCCAACAGCAGACTCGGGTTTCTCTGCGCAATCATCAGCAGATAATGAGCAGTTCATTTATACATAATATTAAAGGCCTATATCATAGGCAGACAAATCATGTCGGCAAATCTGTGCTGACACCATAAATACACGTTGTTGGTTACCCGTTGCGATGAGATATTGGTGATTTGTCCCACTAATGGTCTGCTTTGGGAGCGAGAGCAGGCTGGTCCCTGTTCGGGCGGGCGCGGCGGCCCACTGCACGACGTCCGTGGCTCCACTGCATGTGCATCTGCAGCCTCGTGCGCGACGTGAAGACGGGACGGTGGGGGCACCTGTAGCACTGGCGCCCCTGGAACCCTGGACGGCTTGCTGTTGCCTTGCGTCGGACTTTGGTGCTTCCGCGCCTGCGTGTTGCTGCTCCTGACGCAGCTCCGCCGGACCCCGACTCGGCGACGGTGGTGATCACCTTCTTCGGACAACTCTGCTTCCTCGAGCGCTTGTTGAAGCGCTCACTGTCCGCGTCCTGGATGTCGGAGTCTGGAGACGGAGACTCGCGCTGCGGCACGCAGACTGGCGCGAGCGGTGCCACGGGAGCCAGAGCCGAGGGGGCGGCGGGGAAGGCGTCGTTGGCGGTGCGCTTCCGGCTGAGGCCAGTGACGATGGCGTCGAGGGGGCTCTCCAGCGACGTGGGCCGCACGTGCACTTTCTTCCAGAGTTGTGGTCCATACACGGCAGTGAAGACGTGCACGCAGGCAGCGCACACCTCGCTGTGATGGGTCAGCCAGTGGTCCCGGGAGAGTTCGTCGTGAGTCAGCTGATAGCCACAGTGCGGGCAGCAGGAGGCGCCGGACCCGCCGTGGTCGGCCCGCATGTGCTCCGCGAGGGCGCCGCTGCTGCCGAAGGTCTGGTTGCACCCGTCGACGGGGCACACCAGCGGGGTGGACACGGGCGACAGGGCGGGGCTGTCCTCACTCCGCACCGACAGGTCGTGGGCCGCGTCCTGTTCCTCCCCCGAAGGCGGGACAACCGAGGAGGAGCGCGAGAGGCGCGGGTGGCTGAGGTGCTGGTGAGTCTCGAGGGCGGGGCGGGTGTCGAAGGTGAGGCCGCAGGAGGAGCAGATGTACCGGCGGGAGT